ACTCAGATTGGGGCCATCAGGGGATGTGACTTTTGTGGGGGTATGTTGTATTTTGGGGTTTGTAAAAATGTATGTTTTTTCTGCTTAGAGTTAATTGAGTTAGTCCATTGTCTTCGTTAATTATATCACAGGCAGAGGGGAGGGATTGTGTACACTGTATGGGGGTGACTGAATGTAAAACTATGTTTTTATTGGTTTATGTTCCTTTTGTCCCTCTTTTCCATCAGGTCCAAGGGGTGTGCCTCTGGCCTGAAAAACTGTATATATTCCAGGCTGTGGCAAAAAAAGTTCTGTTCTACTTCACCCTCAATCTAGAGTCCTCTTATTGGGTGGATCTGCTACAAGGGATTGCTATGCTCTTCATACTCCCTTGAATAATCACTAAGCTCTTGTAAGAGCTTGTTCCTGTTCCTGCTTCACTCTCTGGGGAAGGAGAGGTTCACCCACTGGATCCTGGAGCCTTGCCGTAGGTCCAGGGTGGGTAGGAGACGATGAGACCCCAACCAAGCTGCGGCGGTTCGTGGAGTCTGCAGTGCTTATTTTTGCTATCAGGGGATGCAAAAATAAGACTTCCAGGAAATTCCTGAACCCCTGAACCGATCTGGGTGATTTTTGGATATGTTGTTTACCCAGATCGGGGCTATCAGGGGATATGTTGTATTTTGGGGTACTTGTGGGGGTTTGTAAAAATGTATGTTTTTTTCTGCTTAGAGTTAATTGAGTTAGCCCATTGTCTTTGTTAATTGTATCACAGGCAGAGGGGAGGGTTTGTGTACATTATCTGGGAGTGTCTAACTGTACAATACTGTTTTGATTGGTTTTGTGACTTTGTGTCCTGTGCTCCACAAGGTCCACCTGGGTCGTAGCCTTGTGAGAAAAACTGTATAAAAGACAATAAACCCTCAGATCTGCTGAGTTCCTGTTTTAACCTCAACATAGAAACAAGTCTCATGTGTGGGGGAAAAGGCTGCATCTACACTGGGGATTGCTATACGCTGTATACTCCCCTGGCTATAATAACTAAACTCTTTTAACCCCTTAAGGACACATAACATGTGTGACATGTCATGATTCCCTTTTATTCCAGAAGTTTGGTCCTTAAGGGGTTAAGAGCTTGTTCTTGCTTCGCTCTCTGAAGGAAGAGAGGTTCACCCACTGGAGCCTGGAGCCTTGTCGTATGTCCATGGTGGGTAGGAGAAGGCGAGACCCTAACCAAGCTCTGGCGGTTTGGGGCGTCTGCAGTGCTTATGGTGTCAAGTGGAGTGCTTGGAGCCCTCGGGAAGCACTAGGAGCATCCATCAATGGAGGTACCTAGTCGGGGTGCCAGGTGATCCGTTACACTACTGTTATACCAGTAAATTGTCAACTTGTTTATAAACACTTGCCATCAGCTGGCACTTTCAGTCTATGTAGTGGTGGAACTACAAGGGTTGCAAAGGTCAAAGTGTGACCGGGCTCTAGAGTTTTGCCTGTCATGGGGGCCCATGGACAAGAGCAGCTCAGTCACCTTGGGACAGTCTAGAGACTCTCTTAAGACAACTTTTGCAGATACTCCTGCTGAAGCCCTCCCCTCAGGAATCTTCTGTGCAAGGGAGTGGAGATATGACTTTATGTTTTATCCCTGCCTCCTCCTCACAGAGTCCTGGTCATACAAGTGCAGTCTTTTAGGACAGTGAAATATAGGAGTGATAGGGGGTGGAAATAAAAGTGAAATTGGGGAAAGGGAAAGAAAGGAAATTAATATGGAGAGAGGGACAGAAAGTATGAGGGATGAATAAATTGAAGGCGCCAGAAGAAAATATGGAGAGCAACAAAAAGTGAAGACAGGAGAATCTTGAGAGAGTGATAGAAAATGGAGGAGGGGGAATATAGATACTTTTTTTTGGGAGGGGGGGGGGTATTGATTTTTGCGTCTGGGTCTTGTTGCTTCTAGTTATGTGCCTGAGCCTATGAATATTGTCTAAAACCCAGTGTAAGCCGCTAGAATGACAACAGAATGCTTACGGAATTTCTGCTTTTGAGCATAATGCTCAGATACATTAAAAGAATGCTCCAACTGAAAATAAACAGTTTATGGTCAGAAAAATGATTTCTATACGTCCACCCACAAAAAAAAAAAAAAAAGAGGCCACATTCTTCCTGCAACTCCATCGTCCTCCACTGACATCATTCCCCCTCACAAGATGGGGACAGACATTAGGGAGGATGGGCTGATGGGACTACATAGGTAGAATAAAGGAGGGCCATGCCACCATAAACTTTCTGACGCCAGCATGCAGGAGTATGATGCCAGTTTTGCACAGAGTTGAAATGAGCTAGTCTGAAACTCTTGTTCCAGGTCAGCTAATGACGTCATAATGAATGATGTCATAATGAATGACATCATGATGGCTGTCGGAGGTAGAATTACACCTGGATTGGTTAATCTCTGTATGTGCAGCATTTCATAGTGACTTCAGGCAGCATGGTCACTTTAATTACTTGGAGTAACTCCTAAAGTACAGTAAAATCTAATATTTAAAGAATTAAGATATTCAAGCAATTTTATAATAATCTCCAGTATATTAATGTTACTCAGAGCTGCTTTATGATTGGCTGTTAGAACAATATGCAGACAATCACAGCCAATGGAGCCTAATTGGTTCTTTGTTGCAGAAGGTGCCAAATATACACCATAACTGCAGGTCAAGCTTTCAAGTCCCACTGTGTGTAAATACAGTATATTTTCTCTTTAGATTGATATCTGCATATTTATTTAAATTCTTTCGGTCCCAAAACTGTGTCTACCTTTCCATTTAGCATCGACATACAATGCTAAATAAAATATGTCTCATAAACCACTCTTCTTTCAGACAACTGCATGGTTAATTGGAGCCTAGAGTAGTATGTGTACTTTAGCTAAGCCACTACGTTAGACATAGACTTGCAAATAAAAATGATAATTTATGGGAAAACTGATTATCATTAAATCACTGTGTAAATAGATCACAAACACGTTTTTTACAATAGCCACAAGGAAGAAATGATCACAAATAGTTGTTTCTTTTCATATCATCCAAACAAAGGTATTTCTAAACCAATAACCAGTATACACTTGACAACGCTTTCCCATGAAACACTTGAGCCTCTTGGTTAATATTTAATATTTGAATAAAAGGATTACTAACAAACATTACATCATGACTCAGTGAGATCCATTACTGCTTGGAATACACTACTGAAGCTAAGAGGCCTAATACTGTAGTATCAGTAAGTCCAAATGCAGTATTTTTACCTATGCCTGTCATAATGTGGTAGAGTACACATACTTATAGAGTGCAGATATGGTGTGCAACAGCCCAGTGGTCTTCAACCAGTGTAGCGGTATAGTTGGATGAAAGCTTTTGCGGACTGGCCAAAAATTGCCGCAAAATATTTTCACGGCGCTATGATCCTTATTATCATTATTATTTTATTATTTATATAGCGCCATCAAATTCCGTAGCACTAATATGATCATAGCACCGGGAACTGTGCCTTCCTCTCCCCTGCCGGCTCTGCAGGACTGTAGAGGAGATCGGAGATCTCCCTCTCTGGCCCTCTTGCAGTGTAATGGCAGGGGAGTAAGGGAGAGAGGACCAGGGGGAGCTCTAACCTGCAGCTCCACCTGGTTCTCCTCTCGCAAGCTCGGAGCGTTACTGTGGTTACCATGGCAACTCTCCGGTGAGCGTGAACTCTAGCCTGAGCTTCTAGAGTTCATTCTGACCACTTGGACCACCAAGGATTGCCTTGTACTGCTCCCCCCCCCCCTCAGACAAAGGTAAGCAGGGAGGGGCGATATCAAAATATATATGTTTTAATTAAAAAAAATATATATTTATTTATCTTATCCTCCAACCCCACAGACCCACAATAATCCCCCCCCACACACACACACACTGCCTCCACGCACACCCACTGCCCCCTACACACACACAGACACACTGCCCCATACACACACACAGACACACTGCCCCATACACACACACTACCCTCCCACACACTGCCCCGTACACACACAAACACTGCCCCCACACACACACTGCTCTCACATAAACACTGCCCCCATACACACACACACTGCCCCATACACACACACACACACACACTGCTCCCATAAAGACACATACACATTGCCCCCCAAACCCACACTGCCCACAAACACATACTGCTCTTATACTACACACACACTGCCCCCCAAACCCACACTGCCCACAAACACATACTGCTCTTATACTCACACACACTGCCCTTCATACACACACACACTGCCCTCCATACACACACACTGCACCCCTCACACACACACAGCTCCCCTCACACACACACACACAGCACCCCTCACATAGACACACTATATCTCTCACACATACCATTGGTTTTTATTTCTGTCCGACACCGTTCTGCAAAATATTTCTCCTCTTTTCGCTGGCCCACGGATGTTAAAAGGTTGCAGAACACTGCTCTAGCAGGTAGAATGTATAAATATGCTGTTGCCTCTCTCACTTCAAATCGAAACTGCCTATATGCAACATCAGCACAAGAACTGTGTATTGGGCTCTTCATGGCTGAGCAGCTTTACACAAGCCTCATGTTTATTTATTACATTTATAAAGAGCCAACATATTCCGCAGCGCTGTACAATTAAGGTAGAATATACAATATGCACAGACTAATAAAAAAGGTTAAAGAAGGCCTTGCCCGGGAGCTAAGATCTCGCCATTGAAGCTCTTTTTTAGTCCTTAAGCTTACAATCTAAAGGATATTATGGGCATTTGAGAAAAGAGGTAGCAGGGGGAATTTGGCAGTGATGGCCTGAGGAAATTAACAGAGAGTTGAAGCTACAGGTAAGGTGTAATGGGAATAAAGGTGTCAGACAGTGGAAGGAACTTGCTATGAATTTAGTAGGAACCTGGGTAGTGATGTCCCGACGGTTCGCCACGAACGGTTCGCCACGAACGGTTCGCCACGGACTACAGTCAGCAGACACATTCCAGCCAATCAGCAGCAGACCCTCCCTCCCAGACCCTCCCACCTCCTAGACAGCATCCATTTTGAAGCTGCATTCTTAGTGAGCTCTCAGGAGGTGGGAGGGTCTGGGAGGGAGGGTCTGCTGCTGATTGGCTGGAATGTGTCTGCTGACTGGAGTCCGTGGCGAAACGCAGCAAACCGTTCGGCGAACCGTTCGGGACATCACTAAACCTGGGTGGTCGGAAGGAGGGGTGGGTGGGCAGATGGAGGGGTGTGTGGTCAGTACTTAGAGCAAATGAAGAGAGTCAGCATTGCATGTTTCTGGGTTTGTGAATTGAGGCCTGAGGATCAGAGATGGAGATGAGACACAGTTATTTGAAGGTATTCACAGCGAATGGGGGCAAATGAAGGAGGCAGAGAGGGGATGGGTAGAGCAAACATACGGTATATACAACTGCAAAGTTTACCAACCACCTTCTATCATCTCAAATATTAATAACTATGTGAACATGAAATATTGGTGGAATACATTCAGTGAAAATAACATGAATAACTGCATGCACAGAAAGTTACAATTACAACAATAAATAAAAATAATAATACAGTGACAAAGGTAAAATAGATGAGATTAACTTGTAAAATGCTAAGCTTCGGCTGAATTGGTGTAATGCAAGTCATCATTGGACTCTGAAGATGTGAAACATGTTCTCTGGAATTATGAATCACACTTCTCTATTTGACAGCCTGATGCAAAATCTGGGTGTGATGGGTGCCAAGGAAACGTTACATACCAGAATGCATAATAACTACAGTAACGTTTGGAGGAGGAGGATTGAAGGTGTGGGTTTGGGACTGTCCTTTGGGGTTTAGGATGTGTTCCGTAGTGCCAGTGAATGGCTATCTTAATGCAGAGGAAGCAATGACATTTTAGACAGTTGTATGCTTCCAACTTGTTCCAGCACGACTGTAACCCTGTGCACATAGCAAGGTCTACATTGACGTGGTTTGACAATGGGATGTCTCTACAATACGGTTAGTGTACATGATCATTACAGTTGCCTACTATCAATACAAAATGGGTATCGGAAAGGAAGAATATACCATTTTCCACTTCACATCAAAGTTATGTGCTAAATGTTATATAAAGATCTTTTTGCACAAGAGATTGAACTTCCCAGTAAAGTTTATTTCTGCCAGGATGCATCCCTTGACAGCTTTCGCTTGGAATGAACTTTTCATTTCTGAAGTATTATATTATCTTACTAACTTCTGAGTTGCTCTGTGTGCTTAAACATGAAACTGCAAATATGATGCTTGAATCATAATTGAAGATGATTACTGTTATTATCCCAAGTGCATTAAAACGTAATAACTCACATATAATGATTCTCACATTGTAATTTAATGTATGACACCCAAGACCAATTCAACCACTTTGGACTTTTATATTGATATCATACTTTAGTACATCTTATTATCCGATATTATAGTAATTTAAGATAGAGAGGACTGTGTGACAGAACAATCAGACTTTAAATGTTCTGACTTTCCAGGACAATTTGATAGTTAAGTACTAAAAAATGTTTCTTAATTAAAAACATTTACATAATAAATCTTTGAAGTAACTGCATGGGCATAACAACTTCATCAAAATGTAGTTATCTAAAATAATCCACAGGGACACGTGAGTAAATAAATTACTTTCATTGAGTAACAAGTTATCATTTCTTTAATCTTGAATTTAACCATTTTGTCTTGGAAATGCAGAAACTCTTTTATCAATCGTTTCTTGTTATTTGAGCCTGTGCAAGCCCCACAGCTACCACATACATAAAAACCTTTAGCTTAATTAAAAAACTCTTTATGTAATCTTTTTGGAGGTATATGGTTGTGTTAAAGTGCTTCTTAAATTTTTCACCCCTCTGTACGTTATTCTGGGTTTTTCTGGGAGGATTTAATTTAAAACTGGGTCATTCCTTAAAATTGGCCAATACTTACAAACTATTTTCTTCAATTCTTAACTCTTGCCGTTAAAATCACATATTAAATTTAACGGTTGAGCCTCCATATTTTTAGTTACACTTTTATATTTATTTAATTTCTTTCTTTTTGTGTGACTTCTTCAAAGGCATTCTTCAGTAATTGTTCTTTATATCCCTTCTCTTTAAAATCATTTATGATTTTTTGTGCTTGTTCCTGAAATGTATTGTTCTCCGTGCAATTGCGCTTAATCCTGAGGAGTTGAGCTTTGGGGGCGTTCAACAGCCACAGGGAAAAATGACAGCTATTTCCCCCTATGTAGCTGTTGACGTCAACCTTTGTGCGTTTTTATAGTGGTCGGCTACCGTCAGCCTGTACAGACAGGGAGAGGTCTTTGTGCTATCTTCGTGATAGTATATATATGCGCCAGCAGGGGGTATACCTCAGCTACTTGTATTCATGCCCTGTGCCTTCCTCCTGTGGCCAAGTGCATATAAAACGGTCTGAGACCAGTTACAGATAACCAGAGATTCATGCACTTATACGTGGGTTGTGGCCGTCAGCGCATTCCGGTATTGGGGGAAAGTAGGTGTTTTGCACACTTGCCAGGAACCTGTGAGCTAAGGGAGATGGGGGGCCTGTATGGGGGAGCCTCTCTTAGCGGATAAGGTAACTATCTGGAAAAGACTATATACACATGAGTCTGTCATTGACATGATTCAGGGGCATTGGGCTTTGTGCTCTTTTGTGGGGATCATTGCGTGTCTGCTGTTACCAGCACCAGAGACCATTTGATTGTACTTTTGATAATTGTGGGTAGGTCATGGGGGGAGAAGGAGAGCTGGCATTATTTGTACCTTGGGTGTTGTCATTAGCATAGATACCCTTTAAGCAATATTAAGCATATTTACAGTGTTATACAATTTACATGGATTTGTGGCCGTATGCACTTGCTGGTAGTCTGGGGAGGTAATTGTACTGCACACTTGCCAGGAGTGCTTGGGCTATGGGAGACGGGAGGTCTGCATGGTGGCGTCCCCTTCGTTGGCACGGGTGATTTGCAGGAAAATAATATATACATGGGGTGGTCTAGGACCAACTATGGGAACATGAAACTTTGTGCTGCATTGTGGAGGTCTGTAAGTGTCCGTTGATCCGGACAAGCAGGGAAGTGTAATTAACGTTTAAGTGGTATCAAGCAAATTTAGTATGGTCTAGACCAAGCTCAGGAAGAAAAACCTGGTGGAAGTGGTGGAAGGTAGGACACCCTGGCTCTGGGCTCTGTGACTCAGGTAACGGTCCGGGAGAGTCCCCTTGTTGCAGAAGGAGGCCACTTCGGATTTATTCTGTATTTCTGAGAGTTATTGTTCAGCATGGCTGGTGCGTGAGGCAAGGGTTTCCATGTCTTCATTGAGGCTGGCAATTTGTTTTTCCAGCGCAGCCGTTGTACAGGCCATTTTTCGGAGATCTCCCTTGGTTAGGGGGCTTCTGATCCTTCCATGTGTTCACTTTCGTAGGATTCTGAGCCCAAGACCGTTAGGCCCTGAGAGTAAGATGGCCACTCTCGTTCTTTGGAGCGGAACATCGAGGCCACAGATGGAGTGATCTGCTTATGTTTTTTGTGCCCACCCATGTCTGAGGGTCTGAACGGAGTTGTAACACACTGGCTGGTGTGTTTGAAGTCGAGATGCGCTGCAGTATTAGTGGATGGATGTGAATTTTGCGCGCAGTGTCGGAGAGCTAAGGGCTCACGCGTCTTACTCCATGAAAGGTTAGGCTCCGCCTTCCATACATATTGTTTTTATACATTCTAGATCTATCCCAACTTACCTCTTCCCTTGGGGATTATTGTCTACTGTAGGAGTTACGATTCTGTTTTTGATAGGTCCTAACCTCTGCCCTCGCATAGTCGCCCTTGTCTCTTAGATATTTCCTTTTTTTTACCTCTATTACCCCTTTTTCCATTTTCTCCAAATTAGTTCGTATTTCTCTTACATATGGGGATTATCTGAGTGAGAAGAGTTACAGTGTCACCTTAGTACACATAGGCGGAAGTGATCTGAGCCTATCCCAAGTGGCTTTTTTCCATGTGAGTTTGACCATTGTGATTACTCACTTCACATTGCTCCACTACATTATTGCACTATATTGGTTTTATATTTTACAGTTGTCAAAACCATACTGCATTTTTTAAACTCCGAATTATGTATTAACCCTTAAGGGTAAGTGATTATAAATCATCTAAGCACTCCACAATCACAACTAGTGGTGAATTATATGTATACATATTTTCTTTCAACTTAGTCTGCATATCCATTTGTGTATTAATTAATTGTCTATCATACTGGCACTTTACTGAGCCTATCTGCACAAGGATAGTATTAAAGGACCACTCTAGGCACCCAGACCACTTCAGCTTAATGAAGTGGTCTGGGTGCCTGGTCCAGCTAGGGTTAACCCATTTTTTCATAAACATAGCAGTTTCAGAGAAACTGCTATGTTTATGAATGGGTTAAGCCTTCCCCTATTTCCTCTAGTGTCTCATTGACAGCCACTAGAGGCGCTTGCGTGCTTCTCACTGTGATTTTCACAGTGAGAGCACGCCAGCGTCCATTGGAAAGCATTATGAATGTTTTCCTATGTGACCGGCTGAATGCGTGCGCAGCTCTTGCTGCGCGTGCGCATTCAGCCGACGGGGAGGAGAAGAGGAGGATCGGAGGAGGAGAGCTCCCCGCCCAGCGCTGGAAAAAGGTAAGATTTTCCCCCTTTCCCCCTTCCAGAGCTGGGCGGGAGGGTGACCCTGAGGGTGGGGGCACCCTCAGGGCACTATAGTGCCAGGAAAACGAGTATGTTTTCCTGGCACTATAGTGGTCCTTTAAGCTATATCATATACATTATGCAAGTTATATGTCTAGACTAGGATTTACAAAACTGGTGAGAAAAAAACTCCCATCAAATTTGTAATGGTTGTGGGGTAATATAGGGCCTAACCCAGAGAAAGGAGATAATAGAGAGAAAGTTTTTTATTTTCTATGCTTACGTAAATTAGGCACTATATGCCAATTACCTTTACTTAGTAATTTTCATTAGGGTAATAGGACTGGAACCAGGTGTGCCTCCTTGCAGACCTGTTTTCAAGCCCTCTCTATTATATATGTCTAGACTATCTGCACTAGCATATGCATCA